TTCTGACATGATAAAAGGGCCTGCTCCTTCCCCTGGTGGGAGGAGCCTAGCCCACTCCTCTCTGGAATCACTCCACTTCTTCTCGTCTCGCATGGAGAAGCCTGGCGTGGGCCATTGCCTTAGCCAAGAATGATGTCCTCTTCAACTTTTGTACATATTTGAAATTTTTGCTGATGAAAAAAGTGTCCTTTTCAACATTTTGATTTAAAGTGTAATAGCATTTACTATATATCCATCTCTTGAAAGTCTCAAAAAAAACCTGTAGAAAGAAACTATTATATAACCACAAATTAATAATAGTAAAAGCCAGTCTTTGTGGTTCTCCTATTGGATGTAACAGAACCCATTATCTATACCACCAAATTCTAACTTTCCTGATTTTATCTCCCTAAACATCTCTCTCCTAACATCTTTTGTTTTGGAGAGATGCTCGATAGAGTATTCAGGGGTTTCAAGTAATGGTGTCTGTAATTTACTCAAAAATACTTCAGCAGAGAGGCAGAGGAGAGGGAGAGAAAACATATGGCCAAATGTCATCTGTTTCTGGATCTAAGGTGGACATATGAGTATTCATTGTACTATTCTTTCTACTTTTTCATATATCCTGAAATTTTTATGCTAAAACGTTTTTAGGGGGAAAAAAGAACTTCCACATCTCCCAGCTTCTCATATCCCAGAATCATGTGCCTTCTGAGAACCCTAATAAACCCACTTAGAAAACGCAGTAATCCTCAGATTGCTCTGTCCCCACCTCCAACCCATCCTACACATGCTGCCAGCATCATCTTTCAAAGATACTTACGTGATCACTTAACTACTCTAAATAAACCAGCTGATGATTCAACCGCACTTTCATGATAAAGTTTAAATTCCTTAAAATGAGACATGCTCTTGGTCCTTTCTCATTGCTTTCTTTGCAAAAATCACACCAACACCCTCTCTCAAGTTTTCTATAAAACTACAACCCTGAACACACTGTGTTATTTCATGCTTCTGTGAATTTGATCACTTTAGTTCTTCTGCCTGCTTCAAAATATGGATTTAATTGCATGTATGTTACCACACTGCCTAATGAGGAGCCTGTGAGCAAAAAGGATCATCATAGCAAGTGTAGGGGTCAACAAAGTCTAATCTGTAAAGCCATATGGTCTCTTTTTCAAACCTGCATATGACTATTCAGCAATTCCTTTCAAATTCAGTAGAGGGTGCCATAATTTAATTTTTAAAAGGAAAATGGAATACATGTTAACAAAGGCAACTTTCACACGCGTTAGCTGATGAGTTAAAGCTATAAAAAATATATTTCTAATAAGTAAAGAATGTGAAACTAAAAATAAACACCCAACATTGCCTCAATCTGAACAAATACCATATTTTTGATTTAAGAAAGAACCACATAAGAATACATCAAAATTCTGGTCGGGCACAGTGGCTCAAGCCTGTAATGCCAGCACTTTGGGAGGCCGAGGTGGGCAGATCACTTGAGATCAGAAGTTCGACACTAGCCTGGCCAACATGGTGAAACCCTATCTCTACTAAAAATACAAAAATTAGCCAGGTGTAGTGCATGCCTGTAGTCCCAGCTACTTGGGAGGCTGAGGCAGGATAACCGCTTGAACCCGGGAGGCGAAGGATAGTGAGCCAAGATCGCACCATTGCACTCCAGCCTGGGCAGCAGAACAAGACCCTGCCTCAAAAAAAAAAAAAAAAAAAAAAAAAAACTCAAAATTCCAACTGTGATTATACCTTCTGAACCAACAATAGCTTGTAGAAACATACCCTGAAAAATAATCGTACAAGTATGCAACAATGAGCCAATCAACCTACTGTAAAATATAACAGAAAAGTGTTCAAGTTTTTATCTTCATTGCAGAGTTACTACTTCACTCACAATATCAACACAGAACTGATGCAGGCACAGGTATTCTGACTTCAGTACACCTGTGCCAACACAGGAGGCCTCTATTCCCTGGCACCTCTTTATTCAAACTTTTGCCATTTAGCCAGGCACAAGAGCACATACCTGCAGTCCCAGATACTTGGGAGGCTGAGGTGGGAAGATTACTTGAGCCCAGGAATTCAAGACCAGCCTGAGTAACATAGTAATGACTCCCATCTCTAATATATGTATACTTAACGACAAAAAAAGAAAAACTATTTCCATTTGTTTCACTTTGGGTCTTCTAATCTCTACTTTCCTATGCTAATTCCCGGTCCATTTTTAGTTTTTCTTTTGCAGTTTCAGAAAGGTGCTGACAATCAGCAGTGACGACACTTGAGACAAGACAACAGACCTCAAATTACTGTCAAAATTAATCTTTTCATTTTGTGATTCAGCTTAAACCTTGCTTAGTTATCAAATACTTATCAAACTCCTGTGATTAGCATAGCACAATGTCAGAGGTATAACAGAAAATATCAAATTATAAACATAGTAGATTTCATTATCTTAAGATCAATTTCACTTCCAAAATTCAGAATCTATGAGCCTAGATTGTATTCTGCAGTTTCACTCATGAACTTCAAGGATTTGGGTAAACGAGGACATGTCACACACTCAGAGTATTCCACAGTAGGGCATTCCCCTACAGGGGAATCACTGCTACAATCACTGCTCAATTTCTTCCTTACCTGAAAGGAAGCCAAGATGGTATTGAACAAGAATGGAACCACACAGTATATAGACATTTATTTAGCTTTCTGTGAGGCATTAAAAAATCAGATATTGCTCAAGCCTGGGTTGTAATATGAAGAAGCTGGCATTAACCCTCACGCATTCAGTCTCTCCATCTAGCTCTCCCATTTTCTAGACACTGTGCTACCTCTCACTGTTTTCTTCAATATGTGAAAAGGCAAGAAGTACACCTGTATCTAACATCATACAGAGGTGTTAAAAGGCAACCAGATAAGATTTTTTTTTCCATCTTGGCAAAATCAACTCTTCATAGTGGAAACTCAATAGGCTCTTAGAACTGTTTGAAATTTGAATCTATTTAAGTAACATCAACCAGCGAATATTCTCCTGATAATAAAAGCTTCCATTTCTGACATCCACATGTGGCAGAAATTCCCACTCCCAAACAGCAGCAAGTTTATTCTCTGTTGTCCTAGAAAGGGTCTTTTTCTCATCTGCATTTCTTTTTTTTTTTTTAGGTGGGGGGCAGAGTCCCACTGTGTCACCCAGGCTGGCGTGCAGTAGCACTATCTCAGCCCACTGCAACTTCTGCCTTCCTGGTTCAAGCGATTCTCCTGCCTCAGCCTCCCAAACAGCTAGGACTATAAGCACGTGCCACCATGCCCAGCTAATTTTTGTATTTTTAGTAGAGATGGGGTTTCACCATGTTGGACAGGTTGGTCTCGAACTCCTGACCTCGTGATCCACCCTCCTCGGCTTCCCAAAGTGCTGGGATTACTGGCGTGAGCCACTGTGCCCGGCCTCATCTGCATTTCTTTAAAGATCAGAATGGTTTTTCATTTTTGGTAAAAGATGAGCTGCCAAGGGGGAAATTACTGAAATGCCAAGTAGAGCTGCCGGACAAATATGAGCTGGGGAGTTTAAGACTAACGAGGATTTAGAGTTTTGAAGGTTGCTGAGTAAGCTCAAGAGGTGAGCCCGACAAACGTAAAACAGAAAAGGAGCCTACAAAAGATGGAGTAACTTCTCTGTAGCCTAAGAACCAGGGCCAGACTCCAGGTTTGGATTAATCAGACAGAGGAAAAATAACAAATCTGTGCTAACCGTATTTCAACAACAAGGAAACCTACAAGCATCAGGATGTAGAAACTGTTTATTAACACATTTCCTTATAGTTGATAGATCCTATGTAGATTCAGTGAAAAATTATCTTCCTTAATTTCTGCACATTACACAAGGACAACCAAGTAATTGTTCCTACTTGACTGTTCAAGACATCATTTCTCAGTTATTAAAAAGACATACTTTTGGCCAGGCACAGTGGCTCACACCTGTAATCCCAGCACTTTGGGAGGCTAAGGCAGGTGGATCACTTGAGCACAGGAGTTTAAGACCAGCCTGGCCAACATGGCAAAACCTCATCTCTACTAAAAATACAAAAATTAGCCAGTTATGGTGGGGGGCGCCTGTAGTCCCAGCTACTAGGGAGGCTGAGACAGGAGAATCACTTGAACCTGGGAGGCAGAGGTTGCAGTGAGTCAAGATTGCACCACTGCACTCCAGCCTGGGCTACAGAGAGAGACTCCATCTCAAAAACAAAAAACAAAAAACAAACAAAAAAAAAAAAGACATACTTTTGCTATATCCACCTTATGGGAATTACATTCAATTGCACTATAATCTCCTTGAATTAACAAAACGGGACAATGTTTCAAAAGATTCTTTTTACTCCCCTGTAAGTCATTTGAGAATATTTCTAAAGCCATTAATTTCACAAACTAGCCAAGATTACTGAGAAAAATCATAGCTGTACAAGTTCTGAAAATCTTGCTGAATATAACTGTCTTATAGTCCAAGGCCTGTATTTCTTTGCCTGAATCCCTGAATTATAAATGGCTATAAAAAGAAAAGAGGAAAGAAAAGGGCCCAACAAATTAAAAGGTTCCCACATGAAAAATAATGATGTTATATTGCAACAAACATTTTGGTGACTGGGATTACCTGAAAACTCCGGGCTTCCGCTCTGAAGCACTAATTTGCCAAAAGTATGGCACATGTAACTCTTAAAACAGTACTGACTCATCATGAGTACATAGTTTGATCTTACCTATTTTAATATCAAGGAATCCAGGAATCCAAGATTTGTGACACCTTACATCATAAATGAAAAGGCAATACTAAAGATAATTACTTCAAACCTACCCACCAGAATTATCCTCAGCGTAAGTTTTAAGTATAATGCAGATAACCACAATACAGAATGAAAACCTGGACAGATGATATTTAACTGAGTAATTATGTTATCTGCACTCCAGATAGGAAGGGCTGAGAGGAAAAACAGGAAGAAACATGCCATCTTACTCACCCACAGTGGAGTGCTGGCTATAAATCAAGTCAGCCTGCCCAAACACACACAAGACTTAATGATGACCTCAGTGAGAGCAGTTGAGTTTATGCAGTAAGGAAACCTGCACAAAATTAAAGGGAAAACTATTGAGGCCCCACATGGACATAATCGCTATGGACTGTGAATGTGAAAATGATGACATAATGGTGGGGGAGCAGGAGGACTCCAGTAGGAAGCCATAACCAAATAATAAAAATACATTTGTTATAAAATGGAAACTAGAAGTTACTGAATTTCTAGCATTTTCCCCCATTGTTCTCTAAATGTATGCACTCACTCCAACATAGTACAAACATACTTTGAAAAAACAAATGTATATAAAAGGGAGAGGAACTCATCTTTTCTGTCACCCAGGCTGGAGTGCAGTGGTGCTATCTCAGCTCACTGCAACCTCTGCCTCCCAGGTTCAAGTGATTCTCCTGCCTCAGCCTCCCGAGTAGCTGGGATTACAGGTGCACACCATCACACCTGACTAGTTTTTGTATTTTTAGTAGTGATGGGGTTTCACCATGTTGGCCAGGCTGGTCTCAAACTCCTGACCTCAAATGATCCACCCTCCTTGGCCTACCCAAAGTGTTGAGATTACAGGCATGAGCCACAGCCTGGCCCACTTTTTTCTCTTTTTTTTTTTTTTTTTTTTTTTTTTTTTGGGCGGGGTCTCCCTCTGTCACCCAGACTAGAGTGCAGTGGCGCGATCTCGGCTCACTGCAACCTCTGCCTCCTGGGTTCAAGCGATTTTCCTGCCTCAGCCTCCCAAGTAGCTGGGACTACAGGCACGTGCCACCATGCTCAGCTAATTTTTAGTAGAGACGGGGTTTCACCATGTTAGCCAGGATGGTCTCAATCTCCTGACCTCTTGATCCGCCTGCCTCGGCCTCCCAAAGTGCTGGGATTACAGGCATGAGCCACCGTGCCCAGCCCACCTTTTTCTTAATTCTATATATTTGTTACTGAAATATTTTTTCCTACTCAATTTTAACAAACTAATAAAATTCCAATCACAGAGTACAATGAAATACATGTCAGGATCCAGGAGGGCTCTCAGATTTATGGACTAACTATGAATATTTCTAGTAGTCATTAGTGGTATCCTAAAAAGTTTGCAGAGAGGCACTGGGAGGCGAAGAGGAGAGGGAAGAGACCATAGTATGAATGTTTTACTTCCTTTATACTTAGTGAAATACGCTTCATAAAAATCATCCTTTGGAATTCATGAAATACCCTGAAAACTCTACTATCTGGAGAGACGTGCATGGTCAATTTTCTTTGCTCTGACATTCAGAACTGTGCCTTCCTGAGGTCAACAGCATACTAGGAGTGTGAAAAGGGAAATTTTAGAATATGGAACAACTTTGGGGAGAGAATTTCTAGATAGGGAGGATATGAAGGCAGCGGCGGCTCAAATGGCAGAGAGAAAAGTTACCAAGGTCAAACGCCCCTACCCAGACACTTTCTATATAACAGACCTATGCAGGTGCTGCAGCTAAACCATCTGGACTACTGCCCTGCAACTCCACATGGCCATACATTTTTAGTTGCTTTCAGGAGGAAAAAAAAAAGCCTATTAATTCTAATATTAATATGAATTCCAATAACAGATTAAATGCACCCCCAGAAAAATACTGCAGCCAAGATTCTACTTCTAAGAATTTCACTGCAGACATAATTCACACAGGTATACAAATATATATGTGTAAAAAAATGGACTAAGCATCACTAGACAGGAAACAAAAAGTAATGACCTAAAATGTTCATCAATCAGGCAATGGTTTTAAAAAAATAACAATGAAAAGTGCCACAGGGAGAAGGTTGGGATAGAAAATTGGACTGTGTTTTTAGGCTATAGTCTTTCCACTTTTCTTATTTCACAATGAGTATTTATTCAAGTCTTACTTATATAACTAAGAACAGAAAAATCATACATTCTATTAATCTTTTAAAATTCAAATGGCAATCATGGCCCACAGTTCCATTGTAAGTCTCAAAGCCTGGTTAATCTATCATTGTACACAATCCATTTATATGAGAATCTGTGTGTCTTTCTCCTCCATTAGACTATAAATTCCTTAAGAGTCAAGACAAGTAATAAGTCATCTTCCCCCATGCCCGGCACACAAATGCTCACTCAATGTATGCCAAGTGAATAAATGAAGAGACAAATTCCTATTTGATCTAAAGCTCTGCAGGTAACCACAGTTGGCTACAGTCATGATTACAAGTGCTCTGAGTTATGTCAGCCTGATCCACAGAAAGGAAAAAGATGGTTCTCAGAAACAGTGTAAGTTTCAACATGTTCCACAATCCCTGAGAAGGTTCTAGGCTACCTACATCAAACCTATCCCTTTCCAAGATCACCCACAGAAGATTAAAACCAAAGACAGCAGTTGAGATGTCACAGTATTAAAAAGCCACAAGCACAATTCAGCGTTTCATGTCATGACACGAACTGGAAATAATATCACACATCTGGTGCCTGGGAGGGAAGGTCTGAGCTTGGTGAAACCAATCAAGTATGTCTTCCTTATATTCTTTAATTATGATAAGGAAACTGAAAACCAACATATTAAGGAAGATATTAAATACAGAATTTATATAAAACTCCCAAAGAAAACCTTCTCAGATATCTTCATAGAAAACAAAGCTTGTTTCCATGAATATAACTCTTTTTTATAACAGGTTCTGTGTCTGTAATAGCTACATGCAATTCCCTATCAATACAATGTGATATCTCCACATTTCTGATGAACCCCCATCGACATTAAATTTTATTTGTTAATGGGGGCTCTGTTTTGGCTTCTCAATGAGAAAGGGGCAGACATTCTGTGGGGAGTAAATATAATCATGTCTAGGTAAGGTATTACAGTCCTGTCCTGACACCTTACAGTACACAAATAACAAAAACATACACATCTGCAGAACTTGACAATATTGAGTATTTATGCAGCTATTATTTCACTTAACCCACACCCTCTAAGGTAGGTTACACCTCCATTTCATCCTTCCCATCCCAGATTCTATAATAAGAAGGGGACAGATACAAGTCTAGAACCCAATGTTCCTTCCACTTCATCACACTCCTGTCACCTTTTCAAGTGGGGTCAAGGTGAGACCACCAAGAAGACAAGAAAGGTTAAAAAAAAAAAAAAAAAAAAAAAGCATTGCTACTATTAATACCAAAAGTCTACAGTCTGCCTATATATACAACTATCTGGTAAATTTTCTATTATACCTAGGACTGATAAAATATGAATAACATATTAAATACAATATATTTTTTTGTTTGTTTTTTGAAGCAGAGTCTCACTCTGTTACCCAGGCTAGAGCGTAGTTGCATGATCTCAGCTCACTGAAACCTCAGCCTCCCAGGTTCAAGCAGTTCTCCTGCCTCAGCCTCCCAAGTAGCTGGGATTACAGGCGTGCCCCACCATGCCTGACTAATTTTTGTATTTTTAGTAGAAACAGAGTTTTACCATGTTCACCAGGCTGGTATTCAACTCCTGACCTCAAATGATCTGCCCACCTCAGCCTCCCAAAGTGCTGGGATTACAGGCTTGAGCCACCATGCCTGGCCTATATATTTAAATAAAATATATTAAATTTTACTCCTATTAGTTTTACTGAATGGCAATTACATGGATCCAAAGAACATTTACTGAGCAACCACCAGGCACCATGCTAGAATCAGAGATATCACAGTGTATCTCCTGTCTTTACTCCTGTGGAATGGGAGAGAGAGCTCTCCACACAGTGGAAAAACAGAAATCCCTATTTCTGTGAAAACACCAAGTTATTACTGCACTAGACAGCAGATAAAGGGAAAAAAGAAAGAGGCTTTGTATAACATGTCACAGAACTTTTACTCAGAGAATGAGAAGGCTCAGGACTCAAACTTACAGGTGAAACTGCACCTCTAATGTAGACATCCTCCACTAGGCTTTTTTTTTTTTTTACTCTAAAATATATTAACGAAGTTAAACAGAAACAGCTATTTATCAGTCACTTGAATTAGTAGTTCTCATACTTTTGATCATTCATACGCTACCCTCACAATTTTTACACTACATACAAAACTACTTTTTTACTTAACATTTTCTTACATAGAGTTTTTTTTTAATTTAAATACCTATTTTGGACTCTTTTTAAACACATACGGTGAGGCCAGCCACAGTGGCTGACGCCTGTAATCTCAGCACTTTGGGAAGTCTAGGCCAGTGGATTGTTTGAGCTCATGAGCTTGAGACCAGCCTGGGCAACATGGTGAAACCCCATCTCTAATAAAAATACAAAAAATTAGCCAGGCGTCATGGTGCACGCCTGTAGTCCCAGCTACTAAGGAGGCTGAGGAGGGAGAATCACTTGAGCCCAGGAGGTGGAGGTTGCAGTGAGCCAAGATTGCACCACTGTCAGCCTTTTTGGAGAGAGACTCTGCCAAAAAGAAAAAGAAAAAGACAAGGGAAGGGGAGGGGTGCGGAGGGGAGAGGAGGGGAGGGGAGGCGAGGCAGGAAGGCAGGCACATGTAGTGAAACCATGAGTTTGATGAGCTAGTTATGTTTTCTACTATGCATGAAAATAAAAGCATACGGGCAGGTGCAGTGGCTCACGCCTGGAATCCCAGCACTTTGGGAGGCTGAGGTGGGAGAATCACTTGAGCCCAGGAGTTCTAAACCAGCCTGGGCAACATGGCAAAATCCCATCTCTACAAAAAATACAAAAAATTAGCCAGGCACAGTGGTGTGCACCTATAGTGCCAACTACTCAGGAGGCTGGGGTGGGAGGATCACCTGAGTCCAGGATGTCAGGGCTGCAGTGAGCCATGATTGTGCCACTGCACTTCAGCCTGGGTGACAAAGCAAGACTCTGTCACTCTGTCCCCCAAAAGAAGAAAACCATAGTGCTTAAAACGAAAACTGTTCATTAGAATACTTCAAAAATAACCCTGCATGTCCATACTTAGGAAACACTGAAATTTAACAAAACAAAAACAAACAAAAACACAGCAAACACTATATTAGCAGCTATTTATAAATGCTGTTACAATAATTTTATGGCATCATTATCATC